GTATTCGCAGTATGTTGGCTAGCAGAGGTTTGGGTAGGCAACAGTTGCAATTGAACACAGTTCATCTTGCACTTTTGCTTCGAACACGATCAATAAGTAGTTGATCATGCTAATATAGAACAAAAATGCAGAGTATTCACTTCAATTGGCTTCTTATATAAATACATGTTGTATTCGCAGTATGTTGGCTAGCAGAGGTTTGGGTAGGCAACAGTTGCAATTGAACACATTTTATCTGGCATTTGTGCTTCGACCATGTCTAACAGCATATAAACATGCTCAAATAAGAGCGAAAATGCAAAGTACTTAAATTGGCCAATCGGATAACTTTAAATTGACTAAATACATACATCCTACGTAAATATACCAATTATAAGAAAATCGTGGGAATCTCCATCCATAAGGTATGCAATTCGTGTCTAACCTCAGAGTATAAAATTATGCATTATCGGGCATACAGAAATGAAAACTTATATGACTTTCATTATGCACCTGTGCATGATCACAAATTACTTTGGTTTCTCCATCATTATTACTTACCGCACAAAGGCAAATCCACGACTTTCACGTGTGTAGCGATCGCGTGGTATGTAAATGTCACCTACTTCGCCACAACGTTCGAAGACACGACGCAAATCCTCGGGTGTGGTGCGATATGTGAGATTGTCGACCTGCATCCGAAAATACAATATAATTGAGTGTCGCATGAGAAAAGGTTACCTAACCCACACAGACAGTAAATCAATTGCCGGCCGCCATTTTGTCTGGGTGCATGCCTGCGTTGCTGTACTTTCCATGTGATATTTTGGGTACTTGCCTTTAGCGAGACCATGCCATCGATCCTGGGTGGTGGGCGTGCACCGCCTCCGACACCGCCTCCGGTGCCACCAGTACTCATTATTTGCCTTTTGTAGCACTGTTTTGAAAATTATAATTTTCTTCTGCAAAAATTTACTGCTTTTGCCGCCGCTGTTCAGCTGTGCCTGCTCTGCTTTACTGTATCAATGAATGAAATATGAATTCCGTCTCGATAGTTTTCTATGTTGACTTAGAGAAAATATCGATATTCAATTAAATCAAGTTGACAGCTCTATTATGGCACTTATCGTTTCATGTAACGATAAGTCATATATGTATATATTTCTTTAATTTTAAAGTTTTATAAATCAATTATTGTTCACATAGTTTTGTACTTACACCGACAAAAACAGTAAATTCCAGATTTTTGAAATGTTAAATATATTTAATTGTCGTCAACGGTATTGAAAACTATCGATACTTTCCATCCCTGGCTTTGCAACGCGTGGCGGTGAAACGTGTAAAATTTTGTTAGAAATTTTGCAACAATTTCGCCAAATTAACCGCAAAAAAAAGTTATTTTTGTTTGAAAATCAATTGACAGCTGCATATGTGCTGGCACAGGCGTTGAACTGAACTGGAAACGGTGTCAAAGGGAGCGAAGAGATTGTTCACACACACAACACTCTCACACAACCACACGCACGCACGCACATACACGTAGAATTTTGTGTTGTGCTGCCAGACAGTAGTAAAGTGCAGGAGAAAAGCAGAAGCAAAAGCAGCGACGTCTTAGTTGGCTTAGACGTTGAAACGATAAAAGCAAATTATTCACAAATTGAAAGGCAGGGCTGTGTCCTTTACCCCCTTTGTATTCCTTTCATTATCCAACCGTTCTACTGCTCTCGGTGGCAATCGGCGACGCAAGTCAAACGCGTGTTTGTGTGAGTGCAGCAAAAGCAGAAGCAGGGCGAAAGTGTGTCGTCGCCGTCGACGTCGCAGTTAGTGTGTGTTATTGTGTGTGCAAGCAGCAAGCCAGCGCAGAGGCGAAAAGTGAAATTTTCCACTCGAAAAGCGATTTGGTCGAAACCTCAAAAGGCATCAGCAATGGCCGCGCAGGAGAACACGGAAATTTCAACAAAATTCTCAACACTCAATGTGAATGCCGTGGAATTTGTGCCCAGCTTTAATTACAGCAGCGCTGCCAGCGCAGCTGCTGTTGCAGCGGCTGCAGCGCAAGCGCCGCCGACTACACAGCAACAACAACAACAGCAGCAGACAGCGCCAGTGGATAATGCTGTTGCGCCTGGGAGTGAATCAGTGCCAGCATCTGGTAGTGCCACACCTGCAACAACGCCCGATTCCACAGGCAGTGCGGGTTCCACAAATGCACTAAACGCCGGCGTTGGCGGAGGTGGAGCAGGAACGGGTACGGTCGAAGGAACGGGTACTGCAGCACCATCATCGACGGCCGCCTCAAATTCGGCATCACCAGCGCTTGGCTCGCCCGTTACCACGCCTTCGACAACGGCAGCAGCACCAATTGAGCATATAAATGTGGCGGACAAAATAACGGCAAACAATGGTAAATATAAAAGAAAAACACACACATGTACATATAAACATGTTTAGTTAAAGTGCGAGTGTATGTGTATGCGTACCTATTTGTGTGAGTGAGTGGGCGCCCTGGGGGTAGTTTAGAGCAAATGTCGGGCGCATTGAACCTTTGCATTGTGACGTCACGTGTACCGCTCTTTGTATTTATTAGCAGCCCTACAAACTCTACCTTGTCAACTGTTATTGTTGTTTATAATCTTTTATATATGCAGGCTTGTATGTATGTAGATAAAAACAAAAGCAAAACATAAAAGTGCAAATATGTTTAGGTTATCGGTATATCGCATAACATAACCTCAATTGTTGTTGCGGTAACGAGCGCCCTAGTGTATGAGTGAGTATGTGTGTAAGTGATTGAGTGAGTAAGTGTGTGTGTATGTGCTAGCAGGTGTGAATGCGTGCCTATTGTGCTCTCAATGGTATTTTTTGCAAAATGTGCACTTTGCATGCTGCTAACCCACTCACACACGCATGCAACACAACACATCTATGAGATGCAGCAGCTGTTCATGTTGTGAACTGCCATTTGTCGGGTTGGTGCTAGTGGTGCGCAATATTTATTTGATTCGTGCCTTCAGTAATTTAGTGTTTCATATAAATATTTATATTTATATTTGAATAGTTTGCTGAATGGCTTTGTTTTGTTCTTTGCTCTTCAATTAATTAGTTCAATAATTATAATTATCATAAATGACTTACTTTCTTAGCACAAAAGAAAGTGAAATATTCAGTGTTTCATAAATTTATAACTCTGACTTGAATAGGATTTTGTAAGGTTTATTTCTTTGAGTTATTTTCATTTTGTACATGTCTTAATCTAATTATTTACTTTTAACTTTTGTCCTTTATTTCTCTATTTCACCCAGTATTTTTACTTTTTCATATGTTATATTTTTGTTATAAATTTCTTTCCTTAATACTCTAACCCTTCTTGTTTATATTATTCGGCTACATATCCCATATTAAAGCTGTAATCGCTCTGTTGCGCATCTCTGTTGCAGCATTGTCTGTGTTTTGACACGTTTACGTTTTTCGTTTGTCTTTATTGCCGCCTGCTGCTTTCGTATCGACATTCGCTCGTTGTTGAACGATTGAAAGTGGCTCTGGTTGGATTTTCAAGTGGCGAATGTTCGTTCACTCGTCACATGGCTCCAGCATGTTGCTGAATGCAGCCCTGGTTTGGGGCCATTGTGTTGTTGCTAAGCACAACAGGATTGTATGTTGCTGTTGTTGTTATTGTTATAAGCAGCTGCGCGCGCTGTTAGCCAAAATTACAGTGACGTTGGTGTGTGCGTGCCACTCGCTTTGCACCTTGCTTGCGGTTTGAACCGCTTTCAACTTGATTATGAATTTCAGTCGGCTGCTTGCAGCAGCGCCAGCAACAACAACGACGTTGACCCAACTGAGCGGGCGAACGCCCCAGCTCGTAATGAATTTTGTTGTGTGCTTGGCATTCGCTTTGCTTTTAGCTACTTTTACATTTCCGCGCTGAACGGTCGATCGCGTCAACGTGTGCGCAAGTTCGTTTGCTGATTCCGTTCGAATTTTATTTACTTTTCATTATAATTTTGTTACAAATTGTATTCGGCTAAAATGTTGCAAAAAGGCGGCAGTCCCACTCGACTCATGAAAAAAAGTTAGTAACGGTTAATGAGGCTTCGCGCGCATTGGCCTCTAAACGAGGCCATAACCTAGGGCTACTAGATTCCACCAGTTCCAACTGAAAGCATCGAGTTGTGTCCACAAAAATAAAACCCACAACAAAATAAAAAACTAATGCTGATTGCTTGTGACCTGCCGCACTCTTCCCCCTTCTTGACGGCCCGGCAAGTTGTACCATGGAATTGAAATCAGGCGCGTGGCGTATATTTGAATTGTGACACGAACGCAAAATGTGATTTACAATTTGAGACATATCAATATGTTATTTAATATATTGCGAAATCTCCAAACCTGAAAAGTTTTAGGCTTTCATTATACGCACGTTAATGCACGTTTAATCAAACACTGCAACCAAATATTATGAGTCACGCCTTCAAACGAGGTTGTTAACAATGCATGCCCGCCATATCTTGTCAATTTCATAACAACAAAAGCACAAAAGCCAAAGATAACAATAAGCCAGGGCTGCAGTAAAAATGAAAATATGAATATGTTCTGTATCATGGGCGGGAACTTGTTGATATAGAAAGAAACTCTTAGATGTTAATTTATTATTTTCTGGAATTTTTTGCAAAACCATTAAATAATGATTACTCATAATTGTTTACACTTTTATTAAAACTAGATCTTTTAGTTATTTGCCAACCTATCTTGCATACTGAATCACTTAGCTTGCACATAAAAATATGTACATTCTTTGTACATATAGATTGTGTTAATAATATTCTATATGCATTACAGAAACGGATCCCGCTGATAGCTGGGATGTGGAAGATGATCCTATTATTACGCCTGATGAGGAGGAAATCGATGATGTTGAATTCGTTGAGGGTGAAGCCACGCCGAAGGTCTCAAAGAAAAAGATTATCAAAGTGGAAGAGAACCGAAGCAAACGCGAGCATGTGAATGTGGTTTTCATTGGTCATGTTGGTAGGTCCGGAACTAGTCACAAAATGTAGAAAAATTTTCACAGTCTTTACTTACTTGCTTTTTAGATGCTGGTAAATCAACTATTGGCGGTCAGATCATGTCATTGACGGGCATGGTGGACAAGCGCACATTGGAGAAATATGAACGAGAGGCGCGAGAGAAATCGCGCGAGAGTTGGTATTTGTCCTGGGCGTTGGACACAAATCAGGAGGAGCGCGACAAGGGCAAGACCGTGGAAGTAGGTCGAGCCTTCTTTGAAACGGATCGCAAGCATTTCACCATCTTGGATGCACCTGGTCACAAGAGTTTTGTCCCAAATATGATTGGTGGAGCGGCGCAGGCGGATTTGGCTGTGCTTGTTATTTCCGCGCGAAAAGGTGAATTTGAGACAGGCTTTGATCGTGGTGGACAGACGAGAGAGCATGCCATGTTGGCCAAAACGGCGGGCGTTAAGCATCTGGTTGTGCTCGTGAATAAGATGGATGACCCAACTGTTAATTGGGATCAGGGACGCTACAACGAATGCAAAGACAAGATACTACCATACCTCAAGAAGCTCGGCTTCAATCCAGCCAAGGATTTAACTTTTATGCCTTGTTCCGGACTCAGCGGCTATGGCCTCAAGGATCAAATACCAGAAACATTGTGCCCCTGGTACAGGGGGCCTGCCTTTATACCCTTTATCGATGAGTTGCCCTCGCTAAATCGCAATCAGGATGGCCCCTTCATTATGCCCATTGTAGATAAATATAAGGATATGGGCACCGTTGTCATGGGCAAAGTTGAATCCGGCTGCGCGCGCAAGGGTCAAAATTTGCTGGTTATGCCCAATAGGGTAAGGAAAACATTGTAAAAATTGTCGATCCGTCACTAACTGTATTTGTATTACAGACGCAAGTGGCTGTTGATCAACTGTTTTCAGATGACTATGAGGTGACCTCTGTAGGGCCCGGCGAGAATGTCAAAATCAAGCTGAAAGTAGGTTTACCTATTACTAAATTAATTACCTAATCAAAACTAATCAAACAACTATCAACTCTTGTAGGGCATCGAGGAAGAAGATGTTTCGCCTGGTTTTGTGCTCTGTGATGCCACTAACCCAATTAAGACAGGCAAAATCTTTGATGCTCAGGTCGTTATATTGGAACACAAATCAATTATCTGTGCGGGCTATTCAGCTGTCATGCACATACACTGCGCTGCCGAGGAAGTTACGGTCAAGGTGCGATATCGTTCTATATATTATATATATAGCAGTTTATATTCTTTTTAGTTTTTATAGTGATATATCTCTAATATTTCATCTATGTCTCGGTTATAGGCACTCATCTGTTTGGTAGACAAAAAGACTGGTGAGAAATCAAAAACACGTCCACGATTTGTTAAACAGGATCAGGTCGCAATAATGCGCATTGAATGCTACGGCATGATTTGCCTTGAACAGTTTAAGCTGTTCCCACAAATGGGACGTTTTACGCTGCGAGATGAAAGTGAGTGACTAATTGATAAATCTCAAAGTCAGAAAGTAATATATAAATATTTATATTTGTTATTAGATAAAACAATCGCCATTGGCAAGGTACTCAAGGTGATCGAATAAATTGAGCCAAGCTAAGTTTCGAACGCCCGCCTTTTTCACTGCGGCTTTACAGCAAAACACCTTTTTATATATGCCAGACGAACGGAATGAGATGAGATGAGACGCCAATGCCAACGCCTACGCCACGCTTTCTACAGTTTTAATTTCATACACAATTATTATGTAACCTAACAACAATAGCAATTGATATAATGGTTAGAGCAAAGAATTATATAGCAAGTATCTAAAAGAAAACATGGAGGAAGTAAATAGTTTGGCACACGCAGTTATCAACACAGAGAGAGAGACACACACAGGATGAGCAACAGAGCAACAGAAATGCATTATATAAATATATATTTATATAAATTAATATAAACTATGTTATGTATAACTAAAAGAAACATGCAAATGTACTAATTATTTATATGTACAGATATTTGTCGGATTTACGTTTGTTTCGACTTGGCAAAAAGAAACTCAAAACTCAAGGAAATTGAGCAGCAGACATCGCTTTATTAACTTGTAAACTTTTAAGCAAACATTCGTGAATTTTTTAAAACAAAATCCAGAAGAAAAAAAACTAAAAAGCTGCAAGCTAAACAATTTTTATATTTATACAAACAAAAGGAATAAGAAAAGATATAAGCATTAAATAGTTGCCAATTCCTCAGCTCCTACTTATAAAAACACGAAAAAAAGTAAAAAAAAAACAATTATTTTTTTGCTCTAGCTTTGATTTAAATTTATTTAAATTTCTTTTTTGTTATACTACGAAGCATACTATTAATAATTTTTTCTCTTGAATACATAGGTTTTTAAGCTCAAAATGAAACTGCAGAAAAGAAAACCACAAATCATACTTTTAATTACTTAACTGTTTGTAAATTTTAAATGCTAAACTGTTGTCAAAAATATTCTTTTGATTTTAGCTTTTGTAAAATTTAGTTAATTGAAGGCAAACGCAAAGCTCCTGAACCCCAAACACGAAAACGAAATAAAAAAATGCCTTTTTGCTCCTAATATGCAAATAAATATTCAATTGTAATTTTATTTTTATTTAGTTATGCATGATCTTTACTTTTGGATGTAATCAGGACCAAGAGAAGGTTTCAGCTCTCATCGATTATATATTTCTAGTTGAGTTTCCCCGATTCTTTTCCATTTTATTTTACAGTTTTTGTATGATTGCTTTAAAACAATTTTTATTGTATTTAATTAAAGATTTGAATTAAAAAGTTGTTACCATATACGAATTAATTATATAACGAAACCATAACTAAGTTGAACGATCGCCCGTATTTGAGTTAATTCAATTAACTTGGAAATTATATACATATATGAATATATTTGAAATATTTGAAACCTGCTTTTTAATGCTTACCGCGCTTTCTATTTAAAAACAAGGGCGAACAAATGAAATGAAATATAAATGAAAATACAATTGTTAAAAATCTCTCCGACAGTTATACATGATAATATTTAAAATGTTTCTCAACAAAAAAACAAAAAAGAAAGAAAAAACTCGTAACTACAAAGTAAATGATTATATAAATAAAACGAAAAGAACTATGCAACTGATAAATAAATATTTATAAAATTGTATGAAATATAGATACAAAAAGAAAAACAAAAAAGGAAAAACGAAATAATAGAAATTATATAGACAAAACGGGAATATTTATACAACATTGAATGTATTATTATTATACATGTATGTATACATATTTAAAGACAAACCAATAAGATCCGTATAAATTTGAACATTTTTTATCAATAAAAAGCGAAACGAGAAAAAAGAAAGCAAAAAACGAACCAACATTAAACGATTTATAAATTATGATAAAATATTAAAAATGCTGTAAAAACTTTTAATATTAACATATTTAGGCGTTTATTAGTGGTATTTTTAAATTATGCAGATTTTTTTATAAACGTAGAAAACTATCGATAGGCTGCCATAAAAGAACTGATAATTGCTTTTGAACTAGTTCAATAGGTTTAGATCAAACAACGGTTATTGAGGTGTGCAGTTTTTGACTTGAAACAAGTTCAGCAATGCTTTAAAAGTTTGATAATTATTCTATTTATATTTTTCCCTGCTGCAGCACATGGTTTTTAATTCGCAACACAGTATATATCATTTTATGGATGGCTTACTGAATACAAGGTAATTAAAAATCGATTCGATTTATTTATTTTCATTGCTTTTTTGATTAAAACATACATATAAATTCATTGTATTATTCATAAACAAATAACAGTATTAACAACATACAGGATTACAGGAATATTGCCTGTTTCTTCTGCATCTGCGAGATGTTTGTACAAATGGCTGTGAATATCGCACCAATAGCTGGAGTATTGGAAGCTGTTCAACAATCGGCTTGCACCGACTTTTTGGCCAACAGCGGTGTTATGGGCTGATCGCGCCTGTTTGCTGGCTCCTGGCGCTTTGCCTCCTTATCGCCATACAGGTCAAGGTCGCGTCCATAGTACCAAACGAGCCAGTCAAATACGACGCCAATAAACGTGAAGACTGCAGAGAGATGGAGAGAAAGGATAATCAACAGGCCTTACGGCATTTACTTTTACTTACAGCAGGACAAAAAGTTGATGGAATAACGGAATCTCGTTTGATCGTAGAGCTGACAATTGCCTTTGCCATGACAGGTCTTCGTCCACACCAGGCAGGTGGAGTCGATGATGCGACCAAATATTATTGGGCCCGGAATCAAGGCAAATAAGCTGATCAGCATCAAGGCCAAGCCCTGGGCAAATGATTTATCCTCGGGCGCAACGGTGCGATAGTTGACCAGCACGTTGCCAATACGACCGGAGCTGCCGAACCAGTTCACAATAATGGAAGTTATCGAGAATATCCAAAAGACCGTATCGCATCCTTTCATGCAGACGCCTGGACGCAGCACCAGATCAGCAACTGCTCGCTTGCTGCGCTGCAATATATTGTCGACAAGTTCCTCGGAATTATCATCGCTAAGTAGCGGTACATCATCCCCAAATATATCCAGATCCGTGCTATCTATGAACGTCATCTCCGTGGTGCCATCTTCCAATACCAAACGCTCTGCGGCTTTGCCATACGACTCCATAGGAACAATCGAGTCCTTGATGCAGGCGCATTTGTCGTACAGCTTGGTATCTGCATTCCAGCTGGTGCAGCCCGCATGGCAGGGCGAGAAGTAGGTGGTGTCGCTCGATTCATGGCAGACTGGTGAAAAGTTGACGCCCTCGCAGGAGCAGTTTGCATTGCAGTTGCTGGTCAAATTGAGGCTGTTAAAAGAAACGGAGTACAATATATGTAGTATGTGTGAGTTATAAGTTGTGCGATCGGTGTGACGTCACAAGTGCTGGAAAGTTTTATTAGCTGGCAGCACTTGCTGCAACTAAGGTTAAATATTCTGATTGGCAGAGCAGTATCAATAACATTATTCTGAAGTATCGTCACGCAGCGGCGGCGTATTTATACCACTTTATGATATGTTTATTTTCGATTATGCATTTATGTCGGTCGTTTTATTTTATTAATTTATTAACTACTTCTGCATTTGCTTTATCGAATTTCTATGAAACAAAACAACACACGGCAACTTTAGCATATGATCGCGACCAGGTGGCAACGCTTGTTAAGGCTGAGCTTAGAAAGTGGGCAGAATGGCAAATTAAAGTAAACAAACAAGATGGCGGCATGCAAAAAGTGTGAAAACTGTGTGCAAATTTTACAAATTAACGATAAATAGAAAATATAGTTAAAATAATAATCATAATAAATAAGTGCGGTAATAAAGACAATATGACTTACTTGCCGAGATGAGTTGTTGAAAAGGAATCGGGACAATACAAGAATGCATAAGAGATCTGACCTGAAAAAGTGCAATAGAAGAGAAATTGAATTGAAGAATAGAAATGATATATAATTTATATGTATATATATGTATGTAAAATATATATTTTCATCATTTTTTCAACTAACCGCATATGTAAATAATGCCCACAACGACATTCCACATTAGAACCTTGCTAATGGATGGCTTCTTCTTGGATATGACAATGCCAGAGGCAAAGAGGCCAATGATCATGCCCAGAATGGACACAGGACCAACGATAATGGTGGCACTCTGTGCCGCTTTATGGAACACAACCTCCATATACTTGGTCAGGAAGGTCATGAAGCCCGTTGCACCCAGTATATAAAAGACGCCCGATGAGATGTTAAACATGAGCAGCTTATTACGCAGCAGGCGCATTAGAGCACGTGGGAAATCCTTCATTTTGGGTAGATCAGCATTGGCGCCAGCTCCAATGCTATCCAAGGCGGCAATCGAGGACACGCGACTACTCAAAGGAAATCCCTCCTCTCGCTTCAGCTCCTCGTGACGAAGGGCATGGGGCAAATGCGAATTGCGATTCGCCTCATTCGATTTCTTTGGCAGCTGCTTGGGAAAGAGACCAATCAGACCGGAGAAGACGCACATCAAGGTGCCCAGGATAACCCAGCCAAGCCACCAGGCGCCCAACCAGCGTGGATCCTTGCTGTCAATCAAAGGCGTTTTCCGGGGGTCAATGAATGTGTTCAATGAAATGTATCCTAAAATTGAACAGAGATTAGCCAGCACTCCAACGATAATGGAATCATGTAAGGCTCACCAAAGAAGAAACCAAAGACGGGCCCGATCATGCGCAGCGACATGGCCACCGCCAACATCAATGGCGTATTCGTTCGCTTGGTATTATCGTCTAGGTACGTTTGACCTAGAGCATAGTACAGGGTATTACCCACGCCCAGCACAAACTGTGAGAAGAAGATCAGCACCAGGGGCACATACGTAAACAGACTATCGCAATTGTCAGCCGCCTTGCCTACGCCACAGAGCTGCTCTGGCTTGCTCTTCGAGGCGCTTGCATTCTATATAGAAGAAATATTTTTATTGATGAATATTAAACCATTCATGAAGTTTCGTCTTACCGCGGCTGTAAAGCTCACATTGAGCGAACTATTCACCAGACTATCCTGATATTCCTGTGTTAACTGTAATACCTCATCGCCGGCTCCATAGATAAAGTGCGGTAGTACCAATATGAAACAGGATATGCCGCAGAGCACAATGCCCCAGGCGATCCAGCGTGGACGATTGCGCTGACCACCGATATAGGATAGGATCAGGGACAGCATTATCTGTGATATCTCATTGCCACTTAGCACAATGCCTGCGAGGAATGGATCAGTTTAGGTGAGTTAGTGATAACCATATGCTAATAGTAACTTTTAAGGCTATTTGATTGATTGAGGGAGTAAATAATGAAAAAGCTTACGGTTTTTAATGGTTTGAAGTTTAAAATAACCAGAAATAGAGTCGCTTTGCTCTCTTATGTCTATCACTACATTTATTAAAGTCTTTAAACTTTCAAGAAGGTAGTAGGAAACGCACTACTGAATTGTAAGTTAAATACTTGAGTCGACAACACTCAAGTTGTTTATATTTTGTGTTTGTTATATTTATTCGATCGTGGTAGATATCGGCAACATGCATATTTTCAGTCACAACCATGTCAATCAATCAAAGTGTTATGCTCACCCGTCGTCTGGCTAGGGATTTTGAAGCGTTTTTCCAGTGTGGTCAACGTGACAATGAAATACATGTAGGACATGGCTTGAATTGTTCCCAGTAGCCCGTAGACGCCCATGAACGCTTTTGTTGTGGCATATTTCTGCAGCCAGGCGGGATGCCATTTGCCCAATCCACACAAATAGTGTCCCGGGGGCAAATGTTGTTTCCGTAGCTCCGACATGGCTCCGGGCTCAAGTTTAGAGTGGTTGTAATTGATTGTCTGCTGTGTTCAATGGCCACTGCACATGAGCATGTCGTGCTGATAAGATTAATATAAATGCGAATTTATACCTCGGAACTGAAAAAATGTTTACATTGAATACCCAGAAGAAGAGACAAGCGTAAGAGTAAGAGATAAAGAGAGTAAGAGGATGAAAATGATCGAGATAGAGACGAGAAAGAGGAAGGGGCTTACATAGTTTCTGATACGTCAGGTTTATGGTGCAAATCCTACTGAAATCAATATCATAAAAAACAATTTGAGATATTCTCAATTTTCTATTTATAGGTATTATTCATATTTGGCAAAACACAATCTTGTTATGGATCGACCTTGTTTTGCTTAAAATACTTAATTAATCGTGACTCGTTCTAATTGTTACTTCTTCATCTGGAATTCGGCGCATAAACTGCGAAATCGCATGATATAGGAATTCTAGGTACAATTATTGATTACGCTGGGCGTCTACCTATTCATATTCAAGATCACATTATGCCCGCCAGCGCTCTATTGATTAGATAAGCCCTACCATAATATTTGGTCAGTCTCCTTCTGTCACGACCTATAAACGGATCTTCGCATTCTCTTCTTTTATGCTCTTACAATATGCCAGCTAATGCTGAGAGAGTGAACTTGCATTGGAATTATGTAGCACCAAGTGATAGTCGAAAAATACCCATCTGGATTTTACGAGACTGTAGAGTTATATAGAGTTTAGTTTGGTCTGGTCCGGTTGGACATTATCTTATCGTTGAGTATTAACAAATCGCTGATTGCCTGCCTAGTCGATTGTATAATACCCTGTTAAACTATATAAATAGCACAAATATTATGGTTCGAGTAGACTGATTTTTAATTGGCTATGGAGATGTATATTAATAACTTAGGTTTAACAATTATAGATCTTATACTTTTTTGTTTTTTCTTTTATTTTTATGCTTAGTTTGAGTTTTATACGCGAAATAATAACTTCTCGGAATATACTTTTCTCTTTCTTATCTCACGCTGATTGGAAAAACTTAACAATAGAGAATGTAAACAATAATAATTCTTGGTATTGACTAAATTACTGACCGTTAAGCTACCAACAACGATCCCAAAAGATTAATTTTGAGTGTTTTGAGCAATAAATTTAAAAAACAGGCAAATAAATTACGATTTCATAAGATCTATTTATACTCTAACTGCACACTAAAGAGAAACATATCAGAACATAAATATAGCAATAATTTCGCACTATGCAAGCTCGACCGAAAGCTGCTTTACAAACAATAGTCGGGCCCATAGAAGCGAGACACATCTAATCCATGTGTAATCCAATTTGCAAATATTAATAAAAAAAACCCCCTTGATTCCTCTCCTTCTCACTAATTGCCTGCTAGGCAAACAGACGAATGACGAGTGCAGCCATAAATGCAACTAAGCCCGCACAAACAGATATAGTTCTATATCAGATAATACCAGGCGTTCACACGACAAATCAATTGAACACAAAGAGGTCGATGTGTCGAGCTATCGGTCAGCGTTTATTTTTCGAATCACAAAAGAAACATCCGACACGCTTATGAACTCTGTTTCAAGTGAGGATGAGGAGAGATGAAGAGTATTCAAAGCCTTCTTTAAATAGATTTATCAGTTGTTTTCTATACAGAGATAATAGAGCTTAGGAACGTATTAAACTTTTAGGTTTACATTAGAAGGAACATAAAGTGTTTCGTATATTATTTTGCTTAATTAAGATATTGAGTTTTACTGCAGATCAATTAGACTAAAGGTTGATAGGGGTTAACAAGGTTTAATTATAAATTCCGTTCAAGCAAATTGCGAAAGATGTGAAAGCTATTTTCACGATTTCTAGTTTGATTGTTCTGTTTGGATATTCATAGACTGATAAGGTATTACAAATTATTTTATTTATTCTTATTTTGTTTTTTTTAAGAAAGTATCCAAAACACTTCTTAGTATTTTTTTTTTTTAATTAAAAAAATTAAGATATAATTAATATTTACGTAGATTTTTTTCAATATATATAATCAAAATTAAGGACAATTAATTAATATAGCACTATTATTTTTGGCACGTTAAGATTAGTCCCAAATTAGATTAAGAAACTTAATGAATATTTCACATTTTGATTTATTTTTGCTTCACTCTATATGTATATTTACATTTTATCAGGAGACGTTTGCAATTATGATTAAACTTATCGGCACTCGAAAAGCAATTAATATATGCTTAATTAAATTCAGTTCAGTTAGGTTCCTTAGAGAACGACTGTTGTAATCAGATGTGAGGATCGCGGATAGTTATCATTGCGAGAAAGAGAGAGCGAACGAGCGAAAGGATGACAAAGAGAGACGGAGGCAATGAAGACGTTTAGAACCGTGCCGCCGCGTGTCGCGTATCAAACTGACGAATAGAAACGCGAAATAACTGTGTTGGCCTGGCCCAACTACACTCGCCGAAGGCGAACCGATAATAATTGTGGCTCGATAATGCGGATAATAAAATAACATTATCAGCAAATATATAGAGTGGACTGCAAATATATTATCAGGCCCATTTACGTTACGTTACGTTACGTTACTCATGCGCCACGTGAGTTCCTAATCCGTGTGAGTAGTTCGGCCATGATCTCTCTCCCACTCTCTGTCTGTTTCAGTGTGAGAGCTGCATGTGGACCATAGCAATAATGCAATAATAAACAATGACAAATGCGACAATGACACTATTACTATTAATATAGTTCACAATCCACGCTTCAGCCCCTTGCTCAAAACAATTTATATGCCTGCCTGCCTGTCTTCATCTTTATCTATGTCTATCTCCCTTTCGTCCCATTGTGATTGGATTTGTAAGTGAATTAGCGTAGAGTATAGAATGTAAAACCCAGAATCTGCTCTCCAAATGTGCAACAATCGGGCGAGATATGCTACAATAGTTCAGTTCAGTATCTATCTGGGTATTTGAGTCATTTAACAATGCTAAAAATGTTTTTCTGTAAAGTATTTTAATCTAAACTTAAGGATTTAATACAAAATATAAATATTTGTATAATACAATATTTGTATATTTTATTTAATTACCTAATCTTTAAATTTTTCTATAGTTAACAGCAAATATTTACTTTTGTTATATATAAAAAAAATATATTCTCATTGTTAGGCATTTTATTGGAATTATTTTGATTGATTGATTAGAGTATTTTGATCCCTTTAATGAGACTTTACAAATGGATCCGGCTCATTGCCGTTTGGCAGTTGGTTATTTTGTCCCATATTGAAGAAAAGGGTTATGCCGAAGACCAACATCATTAGCAATATGGCCACAGTAAAGAGCGTCTGCGTGAGAGCAGGTGTTAGATATACCTCGCAGAGCCAACAGGGCTTGGGCATATAGTCGGGATCCATCGCCGTAACGCTATCTGAATATAGAAATATAAAAGAAAGAAATGCGTTAGATTATTTCAATAGGTATAAGTACTGGGGATCATAAATTTAATACAGAGAAATTTCGAAATAAACCCTCTCCTATTCCATCATATCAATGAAAATAGATCATAGGACTTAATTTGTATATTTCGATCCTGCAAATTACGTATAAATTGTAAATGTCGCAGTCTTTAGACAACTATTATCCTCCACTTACTTAATACTTTTATATTACTTTGCTTTACCGACAAATATATCAGATCTACAATAGATCAACTGTATAAACTTTTGTATATAGATCAGGATATCCATTTGTTTACTTACCAACTGCAACAACATCCATGCTGAGTGACTGCATGCTGACGCGACTGCCTACCTTGGAATACGCGTTTAGGGATTGGCAACAAAAACTAAATTTTTTGCCATAGAAAAGTAGGTCTCTGGGCGTATGCGTTACATTACGGAAAACTAATTTGTATATACGCCAATTACCGACAACAGGTAACAATATTATCCGAAGATCTCCTGCTGCCGTGCTTATGAGAAAGGCTACGCCTTTCATTATATTCAATGGATCGCGCAGTTCAACGTCAAACTTCACCGCCTCGGTCATATGAATGTACTCCCGTGTGTAGTAAACGTTAACGCCAGTGGAGTATTCCTGGGCATAGACAATCGTGCTCAAAGTAATGATGGCCCTCGGATGTCGAAAGACCCTTATCTCTGTAATCTGCTTCTGATCATCCCCTTTTGGTTCACTACGGCTGATGTTCGATGGCATTTGCGACTTGGTTTGCATTTGGGGCTCGGCTAGTGGACGTCCCTTTGCTTCATCTGTTCTACGTATGCGTCGCTCGATCTCCTCTGTCGGCTCCCCATGCGCTGTGTAGAGCTGGACAACCTGACAGGCCGTTAGATTGGAGGCCACAGCCTCCATAAACTTATCTGTGGAGTAGCAATAAATTGATATCATAAGCGGAAATTGAATAGCTCAGTGGAACGACTAGTTCCTGAGCGGAACAGTGAAGAATGAACCCGTTAGAGTGATTATCAGTTCATTTTTGATCACATAGAACTAATGCAATAGTAATCTGGCTATAGTTCAGTTCTATTGAACCAGTTCAGTTGGTTCGACTTACCATGTTCGGTTAGATTTTGAGTCTGAAAATTGTAGGCATATATGTGACCCTTCTTGCAGGGCAGCTGCAACATTTTGTCTCTTTCGCTCCAGACCAGCTCCTGATTGTGCTCGGCCAAGAGCGTTCCCAGCGCTGTCACCGGCTTTCGAATCTTGCTGTAGTACGTACGTGGCTCCATTTTACGCAAATAGGCAAAGCAGTCAGGCTGCAGGCAGCTCAGATCCTTCGAGGTCAGCTTCAAGAGAGAGAGATAGAGAGGGAGAGACAAGCAGCGTTCAAGTGAGATGGACTGTGAACTAATCCATTGTGACTTACCAGCGGCGCAAAGTAAACAATCAACATGTGATCCTTGAGCAACGGCCGCAGGCGAGCAGCAAATTTCTTCGGCTTGATTGTGTGGAAGATGTTGCGTGGCTCCGTTCTGTGTGTGGCAAGGATATTCCATAAACAATAGCCAGAGTGCAGCAATTTCTGACTTACAGTTTAGCGCCCCAGATGACGACAGGCGGAGTCGAAGGTAATGACAGAGCTTCAGGCTTCATGGTAGCCATCAAAAATATGACTTTTACAATTAGTGCTATTTTCATAATGAATCATTAGAAAATGAAGAGATTTTTACAACATTCCAATCTTAAGCTCTTCTATTTGAAACTGATTCTGTTAATACAAAACTAGAGCAAAGCTTGCTTTGAGGCATTTTCGAAGTTAGCACGAGTCAAAATTAAACCTGGAATTTGTCGAAATGGGCTTAGGCACATTTGGTAGCCTGCAACATACAATGAAGCTCAAATGTTGCTAAGCAACACTGCTGAGAGCAGATCAAATGATGCCATTAATAACAGTTCGAATGTCTCGCAACATATTTGAGAAAATGTGCCCAGCAGCATAAATAACACTGCGAATGTTGCTCGAAAGCGCGACTGCTGCTTAGGGACATATCGAATGTTGCCGAGATCAATTCGAGTGGCTGGCCACATGTTGCTAGTGCGTAAGCAATAAAGTTGGGTCCGAATGGGAATTGAAATGTAATCAAGCGGCGATAAGATAAAATCCGAATGCTTATCAGGGCCAACAGGGAGCATGGGCAGGGGCAGGGGCAGGGGCAGGGTCTGTTATAGTTATGGCACCTGCATTTCGGTGCTCGCACCTGTGCCGCTAGTCGCCCATTGACAATTGCTTCGAATAGTCGCGCGAATATGAAACGAATTAACTGAAAAACTAAAAAAAAAAAAAAAAAAAAAACAATTACAAATTAAAACGAATTATTTGAATCATCGAATTTCGAATAGTGTAACAGAGAATGGTGCAGAATACGCGCAGCTCCGACTTATCGCAGATTGCCGTCAATGCCAACAATATACCCGATGGTGTGTGAATGATAAGGAATGAATATACTATAGCTATACGATACTATATACAATATATATGTATGTGTTTCCTCTACAGACAGCGTTGATTGCGGCATCAAGGGTCTGGGCTGGTGTCGCGGCCCCGCCTGCCAGAAATACGCCCGCCTGCGCACCTTCACCATTGTCCTGCTCTGCTCGGGGCTGCTGCAAGGCGCCTGCGAGCTCTACTTCCGTGTCTCGGCCAAGCAGGCGGCCTTCCAGTACGGCTACAATCCTCTGTTAGTCGGTGAGTAAGCCAAGAAATATACGAACACATACATATATACATTTATATGTGTACGACAGTGGGCAAAGAGTCGGTCGAAGCTGCTTGTTGTTGGCCTCAATGCACGTTTATTCGAACTTCGAATGTTGCTAAGCTTTTCCAGCCACCAAGTGCGAGCGAGAGGGCATGCAGAACAGAGAGCAAACTTATCAGTTTTTGCGATATTGTTTATGATTTTGGCTATGTGTGTGTGTGTGAGTGTGTGTGTGTGTGTGCGAGTGTGTGTCATCACAGATACAAGTGGCCAACAACTGGGCTAGATTTCATACCGTGTAATCATAACAATAGGACTATTTTTTACACAATTTATGGGACAACGATACAGCCCAACGGGACAAGTAAAACCCCATAGCTAGCTCCACTATTTATAGCTCGTGTTATTTACAAACATTAGGGCAAAAATATGTTTTAGCCATGTTGACGTTAAACTAATATATGTATGTAGATTCTGCAATTTAATAATGGATCATATTTATTTATTATTTACACTTAAGTATTTGTCATCGTCAAAGCATTGCAAACATTTTGGAAATAACTGTGACGTCATCGTTCCTTATTAAATTGCTCAAATATTGTGAATATCAATTTCGTGTGCCCCATTGCTAAGGGATTTATCAGTAAGACATATTTATATCAATCGAAAATTGAAGCTTATTCAGTCTTTAAGAATCCCAAAGGACTTGAGCTTTATCTTAAACTCTGTCAATAAAATTAAGAATAAGAAATATTTTAGGAATTGAAAATAGAGATCTTAACTTTGGCAAGGCTTTTCTTTTATTTATCTGATTTAAAAGAATTCCAAATTCCCGTTTCAATGTATGACAATTGGAAATCTAACATTTGATTAAGGATTAATGTAACTGATTCCTTCTAGACAAAAGATATCTAGACAAAGGTATATCATATCAAGGGATTGATGATCATACTAGACAAATATATGTCGATTAGTTCACATTTATATATTGTTTTCAATAACAAGTTATTTATCCTGACATATGTAGAGTTGTTAGAGATTTAATGTTGGAAATTTTAACCTATTATATATATATTCTTGGAAGATTAAAAAAAAAATTGAAATATTAAGAAAATAAATAAAATTTCTGCAATTGAATACTGTAGAATAAAATAGAAGAAGAAAATAAAGAATATAATGTAGATGTCTAGATCTAAATCTAGAATAGAATAGAAGAATAATAAAGAATAGAATGTATGTATGTATGTCTAGATTTTAGATGTATGCATTTATGTATATATAGTAGATTAAAGGTAGTTAAGGATTAGAGCTAAATGCGCTATTTAGTTTATAACTTAACTTATTTTAAGTTTATATTAAATAGTTCCATTAGAGACCTAAAAAATGAACTACAGAAGATGCTGAGTTCTCCAACATGGACCAGATCATAAATAGTTTCACTTAATTTACATGCTGATGCTATTCCAGGTCTTTCATTACGATAATTGAACTACACATATTTATCTCATTTTTCAATTTAATCTCTCCACAGATTGGCTTCTGGTCAGCAGTGGCCTATTCCAGGCGGTGTTTGCCTTGGCCTTTGCCTACTGGGCGGACGTCTATCATCCGATCAAGTGGCTGGTGGGCACGCTTATGCTGCAGTCGGTGGCCTGTGTGATTACAGTGATACCCGCTATAATGAACTTGTGAGTACATGGCATATACATATATGAATGTAGATCTCAAATTGATGCAAACCTTTCTCTGGCTCAGTGCTAATGGCGACAAGTCGCAGGATGCTCTGGTGGATGCGAATCTGTGCGCCACTTCGCTGGCCCAGTTCCAGCGGCTGACGCTGACCGAGACGCAGAGCAGCACCTTGACGCTGGCGATGCTGTTCGTGCTGCAGCTGGCCTTGGGCATGGGCTCGCTGGCCTTCTACACGGTGGGCGTCAGCTACATCGACGACAACTCGCTCTCGCAGGACAGTCCGGCGGTGATTGCGGTCGTGCTCGCGTCTCGAGCCTTGGGCCAGCAGGTGGGCTCGTTCCTGGTGCTGGGCGTGGGCCTGACCCATGTGGGCTGGTGGCTGGGCTGGGTTGTGCTCGCGCCACTCATATTTGTGGGCGCTGTGCTGCTGGGTCTGTTCCCCAAGCGCCTGCCCAAGACGGTGATCCATCAGGCGGCACAGCGCATCATTGAGCAGTCGAACATGAGGAGCTTTGGCAGCCAGTTCTCGACCTACCTCGACGACTCGGACTTCTGGCCATCGCTGAAGCGTTTGTTCAACAATCGCCTGCTCATGTTCAACCTGTTGAGCATCATGTTCCTGCAGAGCGGCGTCCTCAACTATGGCCTGCAGGAGGAGAACTATCTGCAGAGTCGCTTCTTTCTGCCGTACAACGAGCAGGACGGCCTCACCCAGGAGTGGCGGGCGGCCTTCGTCTCGTACTTCCTGCGGCCGCCCGTAATGGCTGTGGGCATGCTCATCGCCGGCCTGCTCATATCGAAGGCAAAACTCTCGGCGCGCACCATCACGGGCATCAACATCTCGCTGGCGATCCATCTGGTCGTCATCTATGTGGCCTACGTGTTCATCAGCTGCGACGTGGGCGCCATTGCGGGCGTCGTGGGGGGCAAGCTCTCGCAGCCGTATTGCGCCAGCCAGTGCCTCTGCACGCCCACCGCCTTCATGCCCGTCTGCCCGGAGAACAGCAGCATCACCTACTTCTCGCCCTGCTATGCGGGCTGCACCAGGCGCAGCACCATCAACAGCTTCGAGCTCTACGAGGGCTGCTCCTGCCTCGGCGATCAGTCGCTCAACTCGGGCGGCACTTCGCGTGCCACGCCCGGCGCCTGCAGCGCCAACAGGTGCGAGAAGACCATCATCCTCTTCCAGGTACTAAGCATATCCGCCGCCTTCCTGCTGGGCATGTCCATCATTGGCAAGACTTTGATCACACTGCGAGCTGTTCTGCCACAGGACAAAGCCTTGGCCTTGGCCTTTGAGGTGATGCTTGTGGGACTCTTCGCCTATGTGCCCGTGCATCTCAGCTACTATCTGGTCACACGTAAGTTTTCCTTTGCGGGGTTCCCTTTGATATCCTCTATCCCATGATTGATTTGGTATTTCAGGCACCACTTGTGTCTATTGGGCGCCCAACTACGAGCGCTGTCTGCTGCGCGAGACGCCCAAGCACGGCAATATTCTGGACATACTGACCGCCTCCTTGATACTGGCCAGCGTGCTCTTCGACATCCTGGTCTACATCTTTGCGAAGGGCCTCAATCTCTACAACTGCAAGGTGACGGACAACAACTACACGCCCTCGCTATATGCGCCGGTGCCGCACGAGGACACGGCTGCGGCCCGCGGAGGCAGCCCGACGATGACGACGACAACTGTTGCCTCTGGCTCGCCCATGCAACGTCGCGATGTTCCGCAGGAGGAGGCAGTTGTCCAGCCGCGTCGAATGGAAACCAGTCTCTACAGGCAGCCCAGCTCGTTGACCGATTCCTCGGGCACCCAAAGCATTGTAGAGCCGAATGGTACTGGAGTTACCTATGCACAGGTCATCTTTCCGCCGGACAAGCGCAAGCGAGACGACGGCAACACGAGTCCCAAGCGCCTGGCTGTGCCTGCGAATGTGCCACTGCATCATCTCTCCGAAGCGGACGTGCGCGCACAGCTGGGCACACTCAAGTCCTTCAATGCAGCCCAGCCAGCTAAGAATACGGATGTGATTGAAGAGCAACCTTTGCCTGGCTACCAGGAAGCAGTTGCTCCTGCTGCCAGGCCCCAGAGCCCAGAGACCGACTTCTAAACTGGACGATCAAATATTTTCCCCTTTTTTGAGTGCTAGCAAATAGTATTTTTACGTATACTTTTCATGAGTTGTTCGCACTTTTATTGTGTTTTACCATTTACATTTAATTATTTATAGCATTAATCTATAAATGTATAATCTATGTATAAACAGACGGTATTTTATTTTAGGGATGACTAAATATATCGGCTTACATTGAGCAAAGTCAAAGTATTCTTTGTTCCTTTATCCTTTATCCTTGGTTAAGCCATACCATACCTAAAGGATCAGATCCTTGCACACTTTGCATTGCAATGGTCCACAAATATGTATGCCTTCTCTGTCAGCAGCTTTCTGAAGAGTTCCGCAGGTTAATGTAAGCAGCAGCTGCTACTTTACAGTGGCCATTTAACATAGCGATTGGCTGTTCTGATTTAACAGCAGCATTAATCGATTGCCGCTAGCGAGTATGCAACGAAATTTTGAATTCGCGGACGGTTGGCCCTGGCGTATATGCAACAGATTTTACCTTGCAGATGTAACTGCAACCTTCTGCTTATTTATGTTCGCCTGGTATTTCAGCAGAATTTTAGTTAGGCTGTTTTGAAAGGTCGGCCCTCGCGGGTATGCAACGAAATCGTGAATTTGAAGACACTTGGCCCGGGAGGATATGCAACGATTTTTTTTTGAGTTGCTGCAGTTCACTCTGCTATATTCTGTTACCAGGGACTTTGCTAAACTTTACGTTATATTTAACGTGAAAGGGTTTTTTAATAACGTTTCGCTTGGTTTATATGAAGCCGCAGTTTTACATTGATATCCATTTAAATCCCACACCCAATAAAAAGATTTCAACTTAAGTTTTTCTTTGTATTTTTTTGTTTGTTTTATTATAATTGTATTTCCATTATTTTTATTTAAATATAGTTGGTATTTGCATTTGATTTACTTGTTTTAATCTTTTGTTTTTGTATTTATCACTTACAAACTAATTAATAAATTAATAGTTAGACTTAGAAATGAGGACTTAAGCGCGTAAAAATTAATCATGGGTAGCATAAAAATAAAAAATATTTTAAAAACACGAAACATCCAGAAATAATAAAAAAAGGAAAATCAAAAAATACTTTTTCTATAGTGTGTGGATGGCTGATCTGCAAGCCGATATAGTGTACCATAACAGCTGATATATGTATGTGCGAGTATGCAGCGCAACGTAAACGCCCAAGTTTTATGCTTTTAGTTGGGATATATATGTATATGCATATATACATATGTATATTTGTATAGCTTGGCTTGGTTTATTTACTTTTGGAATAAAGCTGGCAGCCGACCTTAGACAATTCGAGTCTCCGCAGGTGGCCAGTGTTGCAAAAAGTGTTGCAAAATGCCAGACAGATAAAACTTGTGGGTTTACGTTGCGCTATTTCTCTCTCTCTCTCTATATTTCTTATTCACTCTTCTCTTTATAGTTTTGATTGCTTTTGCAGTTTTTAGCTAATTGAATGCTCTTTTCTGTATGTGCGCAAGAGAGAGATAGTGTGTGTGTGTGTATGTGTTTGATTAACAGAAATCTTACAACAGATTTGATTTATACAAAAATTCGAAAATTAATATTAATTATTAAACTAAATATTTGCATAACAATTAAAATAGGACGACTTTTGCTTAATATTTAATACATTCTTTTTAAATCCTCTTTCATTGTTTTAGCTTTGTATCTCATCCGCTTTCATTTCTGCTGAGTAGGGTGTATTTAATTTAGTAGGGCTGTTCACTTTTGAAGTGATTTTTTTTTTTCGCTTGAATTTCTAATTGTGTTTTTTGCCTTTAGTTAATTTTTTTTTCGCTCTCTTCAAAAGTTGCACACATTTTATATATATATTTAATATATTTACAATAATTTTCTTGCTGCTTTGTTTTTTGATTCATTAAATTTTGTGAGCAAAAATGAAGAATTTGACATAGAATATTCTAATAGATATAACTACAACGATTCTTTTCTACGTATGTTTTTTTTTCTCGTGTATTTGTATTTAAATTTTCCTTTCATTTTTGCTTTTAATAATTTGAAACATGCACATTTATGATTTTTGTTTTTTCTTTAGATAATTTGCATTTTTTTTTAAAATTAAATAATTGAAAATTATAAAATAGCAGATTGTTGTTTTACGTATATATTATATATATATAAATAATCAGTGTGAATAAAAATGTTGATATTATATTCATCTTTGCTGCTGCTGCTACCGCTGGTTTTCAGTAAATTTCTTTAAGTGTATATATATATATATATATATATATATATATATATATATATATATATATAT